TTAAAAACTATTTTTATGCATGAAATACCCTAATTGATGCATATTACTTAAAATTCAATATTACAATTAAAATGTATATAAATACAATTTATTAAAACTTCATGCATGAATTCAAGAGTTTGTGAGGTCTACCACAGATGTGGTACCTACAGCAATCATTATATGACTTAACCCTTTGACCATTAACCTTAAAATGGTACCACTTTTTGGGTGAATCAACTCAAAAACTACATGGTTGTATGCTTTGTGAACCTCAAAATGTCCAATCAACTTAGATCTAAACTTTACCGGGAATAGCTTCGATCTAGAGTTGAAGAGTAGTACCTTTTTTCCGGCTACAAAATCTCTTTGCAAGATTCTCTTATCATGACATCTTTTGGTTTTATCTTTGTAGATCTTGGCATTCTTATGGGCTTGATCTCTCATTTCTTCAAGCTCATTCATTTGTAGCTTCCTTCTCTCACCTACAACATTTATACGCATATTAAGCTCCTTCAAAGCCTAAAAGGCTTTATGTTCAAGTTCCACTGGTAAGTGACAAGATTTTCCAAAGACTAGCTTGTAAGGAGACATTGGGGTTTTATAGGCCTAAAGAGCATCATCGTCTTGAAATAGGATAGGCCAAAAGAATCCAAATTGTACGATTTTGGCTATAGTTCGTTGGCCACCATATGCAGCAGCATGGCAATGCTACAACACTGCAAGCACATCCTCTTGAGATATACACCTCCTCAGAATCTAGTCAGCCCTAATTTGAATAAAAAGAGGTCATCCCATAGATAACTCTTTGAATCATGAAGTAATTTCTTTCTTTGGTTTTTATTCAGTTCTGGTGGTATAATCCCAACAGCCAAGAAATTTGCAATGTTCGCAAACCATGGAGTTGTAGGATGTCACAGCTTCAAGAGCCCTCATCTAGGAATTTATCATTGATTTCACCGGAACTTGACTCTCCTTTTTCTAACCTTGACAAGTATCAGTAACTTGGTTATTTACTCCTTTCTTGTCTACTATTTCAATATCAAACTCTTGTAACAAAAGCACCCACCTTATGATTTTAGGCTTAGCATCTCTTTTGGAAATCAACTACTTGGATGGCAGCATGTACAATGTGGCCAATGACCCTTGTTCCCATCAATTAAGATCTTAACTTTTCAAATGCAAAAAACAACAGCCAAGAGCTCCTTTTCAGTGGTGGTGTAGTTTGTTTGAGTCTATTAAGAGTCTTGCTGGAATAGTAGATAGGATCAAAAACATTTTCTTTGATTTGGCCCAACACTTCACCCACTGCCCAATTACTTGCATCACACATTAATTCAAAAGGTTTTGTCCAAGTTGTTGATCACTTGTCAAGGTTACAAAAAGGAGAGTAAAGTTCTGGTGAAATCAATGAAAAATTCCCAAATGAGCAGCTCTTGATGTTGCAACATTCTACAGCCCCATGGTTTGCAGACATTGCAAATTTCTTGGTTGTTGGGATCATACCACCAAAACCGAATAAAAACCAAAGAAATAAATTACTTCATGATTCAAATGTTATCTATGGGATGACCCTTATTTATTCAAATTAGGGGCTCACCATGTCTGGAAATTGTCAATGCATCTTGGTAGTCGTAGATTATATCTCTAAATGGGTATAGGGAACGACATGCCACATCAATGATGCTAAGACAATGGTTAAACTCTTGCATAAGAGCATTTTCAAAAAATTTGGTACCCCCAGAGCTATGATAAGTAATGAGGATACCTATTTTGTAAACAACATGATGAAATAAGTTCTTGAAAAATATAACATAAGCCATAGGGTGGCTACTGCTTATCACCCTCGAACTAATTACTTAGTAGAGCTTTCAAACAAGGAGATCAATAGTACTTCAGAGAATGTTGTGAAACCTACAAGGACTGGTCTCTCAAACTTGATGATGCTCTTTGGGCCTATAAAACCCCAATTGGCATGTCTCCCTAGAAGTTAGTATTGGAAAAGCTTGTCACTTACCATTGGAACTTGAACATAAAGCCTTTTGGGCTTTGGATAAGCTTAATATGTATGTAAATGTTGCAGGTAAGAGAAGGAAGCTACAAATCAATAAGCTTGAAGACATGAGAGATCAAGCTTATGAGAATGCCAAGATCCACAAAGATAAAACTAAAAGACGGCATGACAAGAGGATCTGGAAATGAGATTTTGTAGCTAGACAAAAGGTACTACTCTTCAACTCTAGATTGAAGCTATTCCCTAAAAAGCCTAGATCTAATCTAAGTGGACTTGAACTTTTAAGGTTCACAAAGCACACAACCAAGGAGTTGTTGAGTTGATTGACCCAAATAATGGTACCATTTTTAAGGTTAATAGTCAAAGGGTCAAGTCCTTTAATGATGTTGTAGCAACCACAGGTACACCTCTTGAAAAGTTGTTCTTAGGCTCTCAGCCCTCATGGGTATGTACATACGTAAATAAAGTGGATTAGTATTATTAAAGTTTACTTTTGAGTTTTTAAGAATAACAAGATTTTGTGAAAAAGGTACAATTGCCATGACATTTTTCGTACATTGTTGCAACAATCTGCATTTGGCCAACCAATCTTGTTAACCGAAAAAATACTCAAGTATACTACAAGATGCTTTTGAAAAGCAAACTTTTAACAAGATTTGATCTACATATTGAGGTTTTTCCCAGGGAATAACATCATTTCTCTAAAAACTATTATTGAACAAGAGAACCTTTTTGTACCCTAGAGACAAACCCTTGGTTAACTTGTAACCATATCCCCTCATCTTCTACTTCTGATTCATCTAACTCTTCAAGTTACAGGTCTCTCAACAAGGAACTATCATCTCCTACCCATGATCAACCCCAGATTCTACTACTTGATGCTCGATTCTTATTACCCCCAAGCCCACAAAACACTAAGCATTCTACAAATAGCTCTGGAGCCCTAACCATTCCTGTTGATGAATCCAACCCAACAAAACCCTATATCCTAGATGAAGCCTTTGATGCTATAGCCTTTATTCTAGGAGAGCAAACTCATGCACCACCTTTGGAAATAGAGGTCACCACTACTACCAAATTCCAAAACCAACCCCAAACATATGATAAACTTATGCACGACCTCTGGAAGCAGAGGTCACCACTACTACCAAAAGCCAAAACCAACCCGAACTTGTGAAAGAAACCAATGTAGCCAAACAAACCAGGCCTAAAGCCATTTTGGCCAGGCAATCACAGCCTTTAGAGGCTGAGGCGGAAATTGTTGCTGTGATGGGTGGTGCTGCAAAAGAAACTATTGTGGGGGAAAGCACATGGGAGGGTCTTATGGATTATAGTGACTCTGATAAAGTGGAAAAGAAGAAGAAAGATCAGAAGATGATGAGTCACAGAATAAGCACGTTGATGTGAGCACTGATGAGCTTGCTACAGCAACAGAAGAAGGGTGAAGCCCCAATTGTTGAAAAGGTTGAGATCCCAAAGAAGAAGGTTACCAAGTCAAAGAAGGTAGCATCACCTCAACCTAACCAAAGCTAAGAGGACTCATGCCTCTTTTGGTACTTTCAGTTGTAAGGGAAGCATTTGACCAATTTGATTAAATGGCTTCAAAGGAGGCCTTAGCTGACAAGGGGTTTAGCCTGGAAAGATTGAAACAATTTCCTTTTCTAGAAGAAACAATTATACAACTTTGGGGGGGGGGGGTTATGTTGTTCCTTCTAGTTTCAACCTCTCCATTGTAAGGGAATTTTATGTTGAACTCACACATGATACCACAGTAAGAGTTAGGGGAACAGATGTATGTTATGCCCCAGCCACTATTGATAATATCATACCCCCTACTCCCTGTGTGTACAGCAAATTGATGAGTGATGCATCAGATGGGGATGCAAAGAAAATATTGTTGACACTGGCACAACCAGGAAAGACATAGAAAAACCACCTCCTCCCCTGTATTTTTACAAGCAAAGAAAAATAAAAAATGAAGAAATACAAAGAAACAGGAAATTATGCTGCAAGATTAAAAAAAACTGATGTAAGACTCAAAACCATTGGAGATTTTCTTGACAATCAACTTCAGGGCCCATGAAATAGTTGATATGCGTGCATGACAGCTTAGATACCCATGGCTATAGAAAAGAAAGAAAAAGGGAGATTCTTACTTGACTAATCCCACACCATCTTGGGAGAGAGAAATCACAGGTTGATGGAGCGCAGATGAATAATAAGACCTTACTTATGAACTCCCATCTCCTTATTGTTGGAACAATTTAACGAGGACAGCAGATATCAAGGATGATCACAAGTTTAAGGGCAAAGGAGAAGCAAAAGTTTGGCAGACATATTAAAAGAGTGAAACATTATTTGTAGGTTCATTTCGCCCCAGCCTCCTAGGAGGTCAAGAGTTCAAACACACCAAATGCGAGTGTTTGTCATTTATGAATACTAGTTGTAAACCTGTGCAATGCAACATGATGTGCAATTGCATCAATGACTCTATCCCACAAACTTAATTGCTTTTCTTTTCATGTATCCATATAGCCCTATGAAACATTTTATTTCACAAATCTGATGCCTAAAAGAAAATGTGAAGCCATAAGATTAAAATACGCAGATACCCATCTAGACGAAAGAGATATAACAAAACCCGGATAAACTTTGATCTAATCAACAAAAAAATATAGGTAATGTAACTTGGTAGTCGCTTACCATACCCCTTAATTCATGGTTTTGTCAAGTTGGGAATGATATATGCAATTTCATAACAAAACGCATAATCATCTGACACTGCCTACATACACTAAAGATGGTATTGTTCATAATTAAAATATAGTAACACTCGATAAATATTACCGTCTTAATGAAATAATATGACTCTTGTTCTATTTCTCAATCAGTAATAGACAGGAGTTTTGCCCTAATAGCTTTGTGCTTTATTTCTTAGGCAACGGGCCATCTTTGTATGGTCTATAAACGTTTAAACATGTAGCTAAATACCTTGACACACATCAATGACTAAAAGCTGCAACAGAAAACGAGAACATAACAAAATGAAACAAAATTTTGAATTTCTTCCTTTAGAATATAAAAAGAATCTTGAGCTGAAGACATCTTGATGGTACAAATGGATAGCAAATTTTACTTTTGACCCAAGGATATGATCATCTCCTACATCTGAAAAGAGAATGAGAAGTTATTGTATAAAGTTATATATATATATATATATATAGGGCCAGGTTCAAACGAGAACGCTAACTATTTAAGAAAATAAGAAAAATATTGTTAATGTACAAAATCATATATGATTCACGTATAAAATCATACATAATTCACACACACACACATATATATATATTCACGTACAAAATCATACAGGTTCAAAAGTCGTCCGCTTCCATTTTTTTGACATCAATGTAAAATCACGTGATTTTATACATTAACGATTTTTTTTCTTGTTTTCTTAAATAGTTAGTGTTCTCGTATCTCTCTCTCTCTCTCTCTCTCTCTCTCTCTATATATATATATATATATATATATATATTGCACATTAATAATTTTTTTTGGGCAAGGGGGCAGAATCCCGGAAAAAGTTTATTTATAAATAAAAGAAGGCTTACAGAATTAAATGGCATACCCGTTTTTACAAACAGAAGCCCAGCGGTATCTGAAACATCCAGGTTCCATCCTTATATCCAATTGAAACTTGATATCCTCTGTTGGCAGCTCAATTCTTAACAAATGCAATCTATCTAAATGAACCAGCATCCATCAAACAGTTGTTGAAGACTAAACCATGAAACAACATACCATAACTGGAAAATTAAGCCTTAATTGATGCAATTTGGTCATAGAGAGTTCCCCTTCTTATCCACTCTGCTACCAAAAAACAAAATATGCAATTAGGATCAATTTCAAAGCTCCTTAATTTCATCATGAATAAAAGCAAACTCACCAAACAATTTGAAAAACGCAGACAATGGACAACAAGGATATACAAAATCCAACGAAGGTAGTTAGGAACATTTTGAATCTTTCACAAACACCAGCATAACCAAGCAGTTCGTACTACTTAGAACGCCTTGGGGAGGAGTGCGAGATGAGCATTGTCTCGTAACTGTAATGTATATTAAATATTTGACCAACAACTTGAATGCAAACCCTGTTTAAAAATTGAGAATTCTCATCTGGTATACAAAACTTGGTCCTAACGAGAAGCAAACCCTATTTTGTGCATATCTTTATTTTGTCTAGCATCAATTGAATAACACCACGAGTTTCCATTTTCATCGACAGAGGACATTTTTCAATTTCACTCAACAAAAAGTCTTAAATCAATGATACTGTAATACACAAGAAACTTAAAATGCACAATCTGGCAGACAAGAAAGCAAAAAAAAAACGCGTCTCCACTTAATCACTTATGAAGAAATAGGGGATTGGCAATCAAATATATAAAAACCTCAAATGATGTATTAAAAAACCTCCTAGTTTATGCATATCTTTATTCTGCATAGAAATTTCTTTCCTTGCCATATATCATTAAAAGTAATGATAACCCTAATGAGAAGTTATCCATAAGCTGCTGATCAAAAAAGGCCAATTAAAAAAGAACGAAGGAAGCACATTTCTATGAATCAAAAGGCACCAAGAGTTTTGCCAATATTTCTAATGATGGCGCTTTTATCTGTTTATCAAAAAGAAAATCATGAATCATAGAAATACATTAACAATAGCTATAAAATCAAAAAAAATTAACAAAGACTTGAGCTTTCAACTTTCCAACTTTATTTCTTTAGAAAATCCTATTGTTCTTGCTACATTCATAAAAGAATAAACCACCACAAAGCACTAAATGAACTTACTTGTGCCATGGCTATCAACTTTTTAGAGTTGGTGCTGGATCCGATAGAAGCATGCATAAGTGGATATCACTGATTTCCTTTGATTTCTCTTTGACTAGGAAGCAGCAAAACAAATATCATAAAGAAGTTAAGATGAAGAAAGCTGCCACCCGCAAACAATCATAGAGCCTCGTAACATGCAAAAAATGGCAGGCTTCACATCAACAGTTGCAGGCTTTACATGGTTCTACAATTTGCTTATTATCATGGGGAGAATTAATTACTCAATTCATCTTTGTTGGAGGATTCCATTGTTGTGTGTTCAGTTCCAGTTTCAAGCAGCTACAAGAAGGGGAAACGCATTAAACGCATAAGCAATTTGACCTTTCTTTCAACATTCAAAGGATTTCAAAGCCAAAAGAAACAAACAAAAAAAGAGTAGAGAGTTGTTTCATTACTTTTCAAATAAAAAGTAAAGATAAGATTTTTTGGAAGTAAATATGTTATGCAAAGACAATATGTATCATGGGATTTGTTGGAGGATTCTTAAATTGAAGGCAAAAAAGTGGGTTTTAGAAGAGGATACATAAACAATTATGTAATTTCTATAAAACCTATACATTGTGGAACTTTTAGGTTAGAATACACCAGTTCCATATACCAATTGCAAAAGCCAACAAATGTAAAGGGTACCTTTGCAATAAAAGTGTACCTCTGAATCCACAAGAAGACAGTATCAGTTAAAGTACATCTAAGAAAATACATGTAAACTGAGAATTAAATGCACTTTCAATGGAAATTTAAGACACAAGAAGACAAAGAGGCAAACCCATTGAAAGAAAACTATAATCCATTTTGATTAGATTTTAAGAACACACAGAACCCTAACCATAACACACAGAAGTGAAGATGGAGATGAAAATGGGTTGAACAACCATATGAGAGGATACGAACGGGAAGAAGGAAAGTACCTCGAATGGAATCAGTAGAGGCGCGATGGATCGAGAACGGAATCGGGAAGATAATCTTCAGTGAGAGGATACGAACCGGAAGAAGGAAAGTACCTTGAACAGAACCATAACCAATCTTGAATCAATAGACATCATACTGGGAGCTAGAATCGTTGTCTTGGGAAATAATCTTCAGAGGAGCTTGAATCGTCATCTGATAAGAGCGATGATAGTGCATCTTGAGAGCTTGAAATTTGAATCGTCGTCTGATGAGAGCGTGGGGTGCTGGTATTGGGAATTCAAATCCTACGGGTAGTATTGACAAGTTGTACATCAAGCATATCATGTTGTAATTAAGAGATTTTTAAAAAGTAGCCTTAAAAATGTATGTTTTACATGTATTTAAGCCTTTTGCTTAAATGCTTTATAAGATGGTACATCTTATTTGTAGGTATTTAGTGAACCAAACACAAATGGGAAGAACATGTAAAAGCAAAGCATCTGGCTGAACACAGCAAGGAGAGAAAGACAAAAGTAAACCCCTCCGATGAAGGATAAAAGAGCAGATAAGAACTAAACCATGGAAACCATGGGTAAATGTTCAACTAAAACTTGAAGGAGCATAGCAATTTTAGGATATTTCACTTCAAAAACTAAGACTTCAGAATAACCGTTGATGTAACTTGCTTCATTTCTAGATTATGTTTTTAAGATGGGCATCATTTAGGTTGAACAACAACTACACGTCTCCTTGGCTTTAGCCTAGCAAGCAAGGAGGTGGGCATCCTTGCAGAATAGCGGTGGTCCAGGGTTCAACTCCAAGCACCACCCCTATTTACCTTCTCCAAGCTGGCCATGGAACCGGTACAGTTGGGGGGGTGTCATACCCGTTTTTTGCAGACCATCTATACCTTTTGTCACAAAAAAAGAGCCCAATACGGACTTTGTCAATTCAGAACTTCTGTTTCTACGTTTTAAAGTTGACAGCTTCAGAATGGTAATATACTGTTACAGAAATGCATTGATCATAATATCTAACCAATAGCCAAACATTTGTTATCAATTTGAAGTCAAGAAGTAATTTGTTTCACACTCAAAGTCAGACGTGAGATCTTCATTTGAGAGTGAGCAGGTGCTAACTACTACGAACCAGAATAACATGCATTCACACACCTGAGGTCCAAAGTTCACCTCGACTAATTCTTAATTGGTTTCCTTTTTTTTCTCCCTTTTCAGTTCGAATATGAGTTAAAAAAGTTTCACATGTAACAAACTAGTACATTATTTATATGAGACTCGCATCAAATATAACGCTTCACCTGATGTTTTTCTATGTGGTCCACAGCTATAAAGCAAACCCCCAAGAAAAAAACAAGGAGACAGAACCATTTTGTTCATCCAGCCAGTCGATTTAAGATTACATTATTAGGAGAAACAAGGAATAATAGGGAGCGACTCCATCTCTCCATTTTCTATTTTGGGCAAAAAGCAACAAAGTTTGTTGTTAATCCCTATTTAGTGTAACAATTAACTTTTTTTCCCTAAATCAATGTAACGAAGTTTCAGATTTCTATTCTTTTTACCAACTTTAACTGGTGGTAACCTGTTGACCTTGTACATTTGATGGCGTCAAAACCCTTTAGGGTGCGTTTGGTACGCAGACAGGACAGGACAGGACAGGACAGGACGGGACAGAACAGGACAGGACAGGACAGCTGTTCAACGTTTGGTAAGACATGATAGGACTGGACAGAACTGGTTAAAATGACCAATTTACCCCTACTGAGTCAATCCTAGAATTCTAACCACCATGATCAAAACCCAATTTTACAATGACAAATTTCAAAC